CAATACCTGTGACTGCAGTTCAATTACTCACTGTCTACACACACATTACATTCTACTCCCCCGTCACGTTGTCCCCCTCTTTTATATACCCGACTACCCTATATCTAGTAAATACTAGAGCATTCGCCAAAGTACAGGACTGTTCTAGAAACGTGGCGTCACAGTAGTCATGTGATTCGCTGACGCAACAATAGACTACGTGAAAAGATTAAGGCTTAAATTATAATGCTTATTGCATACAATAATATTAAAGTCAAGTCAGCGTAACTGGTAAAGTGCTTGCATGAGGTGTAAGATGAGTTGAACCTGGAAATTGTATATATATATATTTTTTATTATCATTAGAAACGATAGGCCTATTTAGTTATAGATTATGAATTACACATCATATATTTAACCTCACACACAAAAGAAATGTATGCACAATTAGAATGTTGTGTGTGAAAAAGCAAACAGTAGGCCTAGCATATAAAATAAAATTATTACTGGGAACAACAAAGGGGAATATGTTTTCATCCCGTGTATCCTATTCCTTCCAACCGATCTCCCCTTCGAATTCAAACGCCTGCAGTCTCCAGTCAAATTAAGCTTTGCCATGTCAATCAACAAAGCACAGGGCCTGTCTCTGAAAGTAGTGGAACTTGAACTGACGTCACCATGTTTCTCACATAGACAACTCTACGTTGGATGCTCAAGAATGGGGAACAATAAGGGCCTATTTATCCTTGCCAGTGAAAGAAAAACAAGAACAGATCGTTCATAAGGAAGTCCTAATGTAAAACAGGTTCGTAGTTTATTTTCCATAATCAAACCTAAGATTGTTTTTTTTTTTCATAAATTCACAAAATATTGTTTACTTATCGAAATATGAAACAGGGAAACAGAGAAAGTAGGTTTTTTTTCCCCTCAAAAACCCGGGCAACGCCAGGTAACGCTGCTAGTAAAAAATAATATTAAAAATGTAGTAGAAAACGGTTTATAAAAAAATTCATAAACAATTCGCCTCCCAGTGGTACAGCGGCATGTCTGCGGACTTACGACGCTAGAAATCGGGTTTCGATATCCGTGGTGGGCAGAGCACAGATAGCCCAGTGTATAGCTTTGTATTTAACATCAAACAAACATAAATAGCTGAGTTATGGAACATGCACGATATAAAAAACACGTGGATAAAAGAAAATTTACTGAAAGATTATGAAACGATCTGTTGATGTTTTTATCGTAGTGTGAAAATTAAAGATGGAAGACATCTGTCAAGTGCAAAAGGTTCTTCTCGATTATGTTCCGTATTGATTATTGCTGCTTCACCCGCTTGTGAAGATAGGCGCAGAAATTTCCAAATTGATTTGTACTTTCAAACTGAGCCCTTGTTCTTGCCTGAAGCATGTTAATACTACTCCTTTTGTTCAATTACATCAAAACAAGACATTCGTAAAACTTTACAATGCAACAAAAGTTTCGAAATAGTCATCACATATAACTAACTTAAATATGAATAAACTAAAAACATAACGATATTTTTTATTACACCCTTCTGTAGAAAGCAATAAAAAAAGAAGAGAAAATTAAATTATACTATACTTTAATTTCTGATGCTTTGGTTAAACAGTGCATTTTACATTTGATCAGAAATGAATTTACCAAAATTAAAGAATTTATTGATCAATGTAGTGCGCCTAATAATATATGTTATCAAGTTATAGTTATTGATATGTGATATATGTTTAAGCTAACCCCACTCATATTTTTGGTGTGAACAGTGTATACATTTGAAAAAAAAAGTTAAGTATTCGTATATGTGCTGTAGCATAAATCTACGTCAAATGCCTATGCTATGTTGTTCAAAGAATATTAAATCGTGTTTCAGTGTTCTTGTATTAACACTATTGGTTAGAGTGTTTAATGTATCTAATTTTACACATTTTAATTTTATGTGTCAATACTATAATTTTATAACGTAGATTGTTTTGCACTGTTAGCTTAATATATGTACTTAGGATCAACCTGAATCTCCTAAGCTGGCTAAGCCTAACGAGATATTATTAGTATTACGTCCAAAAATGATGCTAACAGCGAGGGTACCCAACTGATGAAACAAGAAATTCTAATCTCCATAAGTAAGAATGCAATAAAAGTATATTTAGTTAGCTACATTGATTACCAGGTTTGATTTCTAGTTTTGCTTTAAGTAGGTAGCTTGCTCTGATCGGAAGTTAATGTTAATTAGGAAATAAAAAAAATATACTTATCTGACTTGGGTCCATGTTCCTCACTTGAACATCGAAGTTCAGACATGTGCATCCCGAGTTTGGACCCATTGAGAGGAGGATACAAATCAGTAGGATCACCTACCTACGCGATTACTCTTAACCAAATAGCAAAGTTTACTGTCATGGTTATAACGCTCCCACAGCTGAAACTGTGGAGTGTGTTCAGTGGCATACTGCAGCTCAAATCTTGGATCTTCCTACATGAAGCTCAGCTTGGAGTGTTAATAACATAATTGATCAATAATTGTCTAGTAGAAATACAATGTTATTAAGCTATAAGAGACGAAATTGTTTATAATTAAAAGGTTAGTAAAAAACATTGTTAATAAACTCTAAGAAAAACTACTGATTGTTAACAACCACAGTAGAAGAACTGTATGAGAAAATGGTCTTTATTATCGATAATTTAGTAGGAAAATCAAAATACTGAAGGTTTAGGTGATAATATTATTGGTCAAGTCCGCATTAAGGTAGTTTGAGGCCCTGGCGTACTTATTTTTCGAGGCTCCTTGAATAGGGTACAAGCAAATTTGAAGTTAATTATAATTAATACATATTAAGTTAATTACAGAATATGAGCTAATTGTTAGAAGTAAATTAGAATATGATACATCGAACTTTTAAAGATGATATAGTAAAATTCAACGATTATAATAATAATTATTTACTTGTACAACATGGCAAGTAAGAATGAATTAGGTACATAAACAACAATATAGTTATTGTAAAACATTACGGAAGCATCCCAAAACATTACTTTAAAATATTTTTTTTCCTTGCTTTGGCAGAAGCGAAATCTCTAATTACATCTTTTTAATCTATTTGCATTAGCAATGTCCTTTCTATCGTGAGCAAGTAAAGGGCATTTAAAGCGCTCATTTAACATCGAAGCACGCAATTCATTTTTTACTCTAGCCATTTTCGAAAAAGCTCTCTCTGCACTGTAATTCGTTGCGGGTAGGCACAGGTATATTCTTAATGGCACGTCAACATTAGGAAAAACAGATTCGAGTTTGTTTTCTCTGATTGCATTGTTGGACGGATGGTGTTTCACTATCAACAAATTTCGCAAACTGTATCATTTCATCGGGAAAAAGAGTTATCTAGATCTGGAGAGTATATGTCTCCCAGTCTTTTACCTGCAGCAAAAATTTCAGTCTTATTTAAATTTTTGAAATTAGATAGAAAACCAAACATAATTTCTGTCGCTTTATATGCAGCAAGCCGATTTTCCGAACACATTTGTAACTTGTAAACTACCGGTATAAAATTTTCTACGCGAAACTTCTGAGTTCTAGATAAACTAATTTCACCTTCAGAAGTCTCATCATTTGCCAGTTTTCTTTTTCTCCTTCTATAAATCTCACTCCTAAGCTGTTCTACTATATTTGAAAGCTTATGAGCTTGAATTTCGATTCTATCAAATTCTTCACATAGTGAATTTACATATTCCTTCAGTGAACTGATAAGCTTTACAGCAGTAGACAAATTAAGGCTCTTTTCTTGAAGCATCAAATCTTCGAAGAATTTTATACCAAAACACTGTCATGAAAGCAATATGTAACGTTCTCATTTTATTCATCAAAGCAGTAGTTTCATTTCTTACTGTTTGCCCTGCATCAATATCCTTAGATAAATCTTCAAGGTTGGTATAAATTCTGTTGTAGTTTTCATACAGAATTTTTGTTGAAACTTATCTGGCTGACCATTTTGTTCCACTGAGGTTCTTAAGAGTAACTGGCCTCCCGTCATCGCTTCTTAAGCCATTACAAATGCTTTGCCAATAGTTGGTTGAAGAAGCACAAAAATTGTACAGAGTTTGAAGAAAATTTAAAATATTCGATGCACATTCGCAACTTTCCACTGCATTAACACCTACTAGATTTAATGAATGTGCTGCACAATGGATGTAATAAATATATTGGTTTATGTTCTTGCGATGCACTTGTAGGCCATTGTATTTATCGGACATATTTGCTGCATTGTCATACAATTTCCTACATGCATTTTGAATGTCAATTCCCATCCTATTTATTTTTCTATGACAACTTCAGCCATTAATTTTCCTGTATGCCCACATGAAGAATCATAACCGACAAAACGCTCCTGTGCATCACCTTCCTCGTCCACGCATTGCAATATTATAGCTAACTGGTCTGAGTGTGAGACATCGTGTGAGGAATCTACAATAATTGAAAAGTACTTAGTATCGCGAATTTCATCAGCAATTGTCTTATAAATTTTATTAGCTATTAAAATAATAATTTATTCATAAACTATGGAGGATAAATACGAGGTAAATCCCCAGCCTTTATTTCCACGCATTTCAAGGTGCTTACAACGAATGGATCGAATTTAGCTACAAATTCTATTGCAAGTTTCCATTGTTGAAATCTTCAATCTCCTCTAAGTGATAATCCTCTTCCCCACAAATATTTTAGATATTCAACAGCTCGACGCAATATCTCCCGCTAATATCGTACTTCATTTTCTGAATCATTGTTTAACTTTGAATCCACAGTTTCTATCACAGTCCAAAATGCATTAAAATTTAATTATTAACAGTTGTATAAGGTTAAGATGTTTTAAACTATTTAGTGTAAAGACATGTTGTTTCCAGTTATACAATCTGAAATAATTCTATAAAAAAAATTGTAATTTTGATTTATTTTGTATTTTTATGGTGGTTACGAGGTCGGTCAAATTGATTTAGTCTGTATTGAATAAGAATAGAACAAATAACAGATAAAATATGAAGATTTATCGAAAAAAGAAAGTGTTAAAATGACGGTCTGGATCATCAGTAGGTCCCCTCGCTGCTTGGGGCCCTGACGCAACTGCGGGTTAATGCGGTCCTGGGTCAGATACACCCAGTCTATTCTAAGGGGAAAATGATTAAACTCAAGCTGAGATTATTTTAAGCACAAGCAATATCGTTGTTAGAAAATAACGATGTAATCAAGTTGTAAGTAATATGTTATATATTTATATCGATTTTGTTAAAACTATAAATCTGTACTAAATGTTCCGATTTTTTTTTTCATTTTTATAGAAAAACAATGAATAGAAATGTTGTTTTCTGTGGCTGTAAATCAATTAAAAACCTCGCAAAACGAAATTTTTCTTTGCACGAATATTGTACAGTCATAAGTCGAATGGTTGGGATTTTGCTGTGAACCAATTATAAAGATGGTTGGAGACAGCTTGAATGGGTAACGAAGAAAAACTTTAATATAAGTTTAACATAACCATTATTAGTCTCAAAGTCATCGAATTTCAATTATAAAGATGCTTAGCATACTAGTCATACAAACCTAAATGCACATGATTGAATTACACTACCTTGTCGAAAAGCGTTTTTCTTAGTTTTACTTATAACCTTGGTAATAACAATAACCATTTTGCAACACTACTAACGATCTAACAATACACTAGTAGCCATATTCTGTGATTAACAGCATGCTTTATGAGTTGCTAAGTGACAACCTCCTCTCATATCACGTGCGGGTGCACT